ACAGACAACTACGCAAACAACATCAAGACAATGCGCAGTAGATAACAAATAGCCCTCTCCCTCCCGCGCACACAAACATACGTACATGCGTACATATGAATTACGTGTGTCTGCTTGTATCTATGGCAACACAGCGTGAGATATATAAGATGTACGTATGTATGTAATGAATGTATGTGCGCTGTATCTGAGTACGTATGTACGTGTGTGCGGTGCTTATGCAGACAGCTGCTTTGTGTGTCAAATTGTAGCGAAAAAAATTGTGTTTTTTTGTACCAACGCGAAGAGGAAGAGGGCAAAGAAGAAGAAGCAACCAAGCGGTAAACGAAGACCCAGTGGCGAATTCGTAGATACAAAGTTACAATGAACAATTGATGATTTTTATGAGAGAAATACATTTTAGCACTTTTTCGTTACATACATTAAAATTTTTGCAAATTGTGAGATTTGAAAATTATGCTGTTTAGCCTAATTTATTAATCAAGTGAAACACGCAAATAAAATGTGTATTATCTCAGAATGTAATTTTTGAAATTCGCCAAAATTTCCACAGGGCTGCTTGTGTTTTTTTGCAATCCGCACTTCTTGCTCTTTGCCCTCTCTTCTCATCAACCAGCTACTGGGGCACAGTGGGGAAATGATTACTTTACAATCTATAAATGGACTAAAAATTATATAATTATTTATTAATTATAATTTATATAAAACTAATAAATAATATTATTAAAATAATAATATAACAAGTTATTAGATTACTTTGCTTTCCACTTTTGACCGCTGTTTGCCCCACTGTGCGCTGTTGCCGTGCGGCGCTGCGCAAAAACAACGCAGGCCACTCTCTGACGCACTGGCTCGCTCACCGACTCTCCCACCCGCCCGCTCACTCACTCACTCACTCTCCCGCCATCTGGCGGTCGCACTCACGCGTCCGACATTCCTTACTGTTTGTTTTTGTGTCTGCCGGCGTCGCTCTCTGGCGACTGCGCGGTCCCAGTGCCGCGTTGCCAAACTTCACTTCGCCTCTGCGTGAGTGTATGTGTTTTATATCAGAAATTTCCATTTAATTTTTTATTTAGATTTCTTTTTTTTTGCCAGGCTTGCGTGTGTGTGTTTATTGGTATATAATTTTATGTGTGTGTATTTTAGTTACACTTTCAGCTGCTGTTTCCAAGCTTCTTGTTTTTTTTTTTGCCATTTCTTCTTTTTGTTTTGCTTGTGTGTGTTTTGGCTTCTACGTCACACCTTTTTTCGGGCAAGAGAAAGAGAGGGAGGCCGAGAGAGCGAGAGAGATGGGGAATTACTGCATAGGCCTGCGAAAAATTGGCAGCAAAATCTCAGACGAGGGTTGTTTTATTTTATTCCACGTTTCCCCCATTTTTCGTCGACTTTTTCGCATAGCCACAGGTGTCGTTGCGCAGTCGACGTCGGCAGAGGCCCGGGCAGAACGACTGAGTGTCATCCGTCAAGTTCAGCTCTCCAAAAAAAAAAATTACGCAAAAAACTTTGCACCTTTGTGCAAATTATTTTGTCGTCAAAAAGTTAACCTCAAAATGCAGCCTCTGCCGGCGTCGACGTCGACCGAGCCTGTTGAACGTGACTCACAGGCCTAAAACTTAACTTTTCCCTGCAACTTTGGGTAGTACCTATTGAACACATGTAAACAAAATACAAAACATTTATTTTTTTAAAGCTCATCTTAAGAAATTTTCTAGTATTTTTTGTAGGCCTTTTTCTGTCTAAGAAAAATTCACTTCTTTGTGATTTCGAACAAAATCCAAACTTTTATCTTAGTAAATTTTTTTTGTATATTAATTTTTTTTTATTTTAAATTTTTTAAAATTTTTTTTCAGTTTTTGAACTTAGTTTATTTACTAAAAGTAAAAGAACTTTCCAAAGTAATATCTAAGAAATACATTCATACATATAAAGATACACACCAGAATCTCAAGAGTTTTGCTTGATGAAAAAGTTATGTGAACTAAATGTTTCTTATTTTTGTTTCATTTGTTTATATGTCGTTTGTGTGCGTGTGTGCACTCAAACAAACTTTGCTCCCTACACTTGACCTTGTTTTGCCATTTTCATTTTGTGCCACAAACACACACACACATATGTACGTATGTATGTACATGCCGAGATGGGGATGGATTATTGCGGTTGACTACGACCAAAAACTGTTTGCCAGAGGAAAAGGGCGAATAAGGGGAGAGAGTGAAGGATGAGGAGGGAGACGCCAACATGTCAAAACCAAAGACGCTGAGAAAGGCAAATGGCGACACACACACACACACACTCACAGTACAGTGGACATCTGAACTTTCAAACATGCGAATTTTCCAGAAACTACAAGTTTCATTTTCAATGCACTCGCCAAAAAAATAAGCTAAAAATGCAGATAAAAATTAAAAAAATATATATGTATAAACATTACATTAAAATAATTAAAATATATATTATCTTTTAGTGGTTGTTAAATATTTTTATTTATATGTATCCTGTAAATACTATCAAGTAAACCCCATCAATAGTTCAACCCTTTTAAAGCCCATGTAAAAGTTAAAAATATACATAAATAAACCTTGCATTTTTTCCAGTGATCATCTGTGTGTGTTTGTGTGTGTGGAATAGAAGAAGGCCAGTAATTTGGCTAAACTTTGTTATTTTTTTCTGAGACGGCTTAAATGCCGGCTACAACAACTGAGTCGACATCAAAAGCGAAGAGCCCAAAAATAAAGCATGCAAGAAAAAGAAGAAAAACACCAACGGCAAAATTGATACACAGAACGAAAAATGGGTACCCTTGATAGTAAAATATAATATGTCAAATATATTTTGGGAAAAAATTAAAAAAAATTTCGGTTTGGAACCCTCGATTTTGTTACTACAAACATAGAAACATTATTTCTCTATCGAAACGGGGATTCCTTTTTCTTTTCTCTGTAAGAATCGACAGCAAAAGCGAAGGGCGATGGAGAGGACGAAAATGAAGGGAGGAATGCGAAGTAACGACCAACGGCAATAAAAATTCAGAGCAAGGCGAAACAAAAACAAAACAGGAAGGACAGGGCAACAAAGTTAAAGTTATTAATGACCTGCTGGCGGCTTTTATTTTTATTTTTTTTCCATGGGTTTTTTTGCAGAACGCAAAGCAGGGGGAGAATTAATCGTTAAGAAAGCGAATGCGAAAAATGAAAACCTCCACATGTGGCGCACAGAACTTAAAAGATTAGCGAAAATAAAAGAGAACTTGAGAAAAAACTAATCCGTAATTCTCAAGGAATGCGAACCGCACCTCTAATCGGTTCTCGAAAATATTGAACCTCAGGGAAATAAATTTATGGCCATAAAATGTAATGATACAATAGTCAAAATTCTAAAAAAAAACATCTTAATCTTTGTAATTTTCAGCGAAGGGAGAAAACACGTTTTCCTAAATTTGTAACGGTTAAGGTAGGCAACAACAAAGGTGTGACCAAATGCAAATAACAGTTAAAAAATGTGATCAAGTTACGTGCATGCACAAATAATTACACACAAATATATGCATGTAATACATAAGATATACATATGTACATACATATATCCCTTAAGACAACCCCTTTCTCTTATTCTTATTTTTGGCCCTTCTGCCATTTACCATCCACTTTTCGCACCACCTTGCTCACTGACGGAAAAAAGGCGAAGCATAAAGAAAACAAAAAGAAAATAGAGAACCGACCTAACCGAAAAGTACACAGAAAAAAACATTTAAAATTATTATTCACGATTTGTTAAGGAAGCTGATTTTTCATTTATCATCTTTGATGATAGTTTAGACAAAAATAAAATACATAATCATTAATTATAATAAACCTAAAGAGAAAAAATTTTTTGGGTTCAAATCCTACTGCTGTTAAATAGATTTGTATATATGTACATATTTAATGTTAAAAATTTTGTACAACATACGAAATATCAATATTAAAACTATCGACTTCATATTAATAACGTATCCCTTTTAAATATTCACTGTACATAATTAAAAAACCATGTAAAAGTTACAACTTTTTTCCAGTGCAGCGATAATAGAGCAATGTGTAAAAGGGCAAGATAGAGAGAGAGAGCGATAGAATGCGAGAAAGAGAGGAGCGGCAGTATAACGGCAATGGCAATGCCAACAAATTAAAGTTACTAAAGCAAAGGAAACGGCAAAAAAAGAAAGAACGTGTGAGCGGAAAAGAGAGGGAGTGACGAAGAAAGAGAGAGGAGAACGAGAACCCAGCGGCGAGGCAAAGAAAGCTGAAATAAAATAAATAAAAGAATCGCAGTCGGCAGCAAAAAATCAGAAGACGGAGAAGGAGGAGAAGACAAAAAAGAAGGGAGGCTGAAAAACAAGAAGTGAGTGGAGGAGGGGGGAGGGAAAGAGGGTGGGGATCCGCATGCAGAACCACTCACTCAAATTTAAAATGAATAAAAACCGGTTCGGTTCGTTTTTTTGTTTTATGCCTTTTTCCTTTCCCTCCCCCTCCCCCTCCCTCCTTCGTGCGTCTTCCTCTCCTCTTTCGCCGACTGCTTTGCATTTGCCATTTTTGCATTTTTGCGTCGCGATGCAGGCGGCTAAAATGTCATTTTTCGGTTCGTATTTATCGGTCTAAACTTTGAAAAAAAAAACTTTTTCAAATTGTATTGGAAAAGCTATTATACTTTTTTATTTATTATTGGAAATTAAATTAAAGACGTTTAACAATTGAACGTTCGCTTTAAAGTTTATTTACAATTTAATTTCAAAACACAATTTGGAAATACAGCATTTTTTTTTAATGGAAAACCTGTGTAGAAAGTAACTAAAATTTAAATATTTTGAATTAAATATAAGATAATTATTTGTATTCCTATATACCATATAAAACAATTTACTTGGCGACATGATAATAATTTTAATACAATATTACAAACTTCTTGAAATCATTTTTAATAAAATGATCTTCCAAGTTTTAAATGACAACCCGATTAAATTCTTAAGATGATATTACATAGCTATACCTATTTGGGGCCCGGAAGAAAGCGGGCCTCGAAGGAAAGGCGATTCATGCGGCCGTAGACGAGCACCTCGCTGATGATCCGTTCGGCGTAGAGTCGCTGATCGGGTCTCATGTGCCGGAAGTGGGTGGCCATCCGCCTTCCGATTAGCTCGCACTCGTTCTCGCTCTCACTCTCCCTCTCCCTGTCCCTGCCTCTATCTCTATCTCTCTCCCTTTCCCTATCCCTATCTCTGTCTCTATCCGGAATCTCCTCCACCCTACGCTTTCTCCCCGTTTCGCCGTAATCGGTGTCATTGCTGCTACGTCTTCGCCGGATACGGATACGTCGATTGGTTTTATCCGTAGCTATGGAACTCGACGGATTATTGGCATACGGATTATTCTTGATATTCCCCTGATAATCGTCGACTTTGTGTTCCGCCTCTGTTTCCGGATCCTGATCGTGTTCCGGTTCTAGTTCCGGTTCTGGCTCCGCCTCGCCATCGCCCACGGCCTCAAGACGCAGTACATCCTCTTCGGTGTGAAAGGGCTCCGAAAACATATCATCGTCCTAAAAAAACCAAAAATAACCAGGTAATGTTACAATGATATTATATGTAATGTATAATCTTAAATGATATATCCTAAAATATTATAATCTTATAATGATATCATATAAACTATATTATTATAAATATCATTGATAGGTGATATTAGTTTTTATAACCAGTAATTCTTAGATATTACATAATATTATTTAAGAAAATTTTTTAAAAAAAAATTTTAAATTATATGCTCTATTTTTACGATATTTTGGGGCTAGAGGATTTCCCATCGATGGACTCACTTCGCTGCCCATTTGTTGGACCTCATCGTTCTCGGACTCCTCGGTTAGATCATCTGGCTGCATAAATCCCAGGGTTTCGTCCGATTCCGTGACGGGCTGGAACTGCGCTATGGTTTCATGATCCTGCAGGAATTTCGATTCCTGTTCCTGAGCCACCTGACGAGTGGCACCTGCGTTCGCCAATTGCAATTCGCCGGTTTCCAGTTCGTAGAGAAAGTCGAGTTCCTTGAAGTACCAAAGCGAGGGCACATAATTGTTGTCACTCTCCAGGACCTTTCGCAGTTCGCGGCGATACGAAGTCCGGAAGTTGTTTATCTTTCGTTTCAGCGTATGGATATTGGCATGGCTGTCGGAAACGCGCATCAGGCCCAAAAGTCGACCGTACGATTGGTCCTTGAGCCGGCGATCGCGGTACAGTTTGCTGCGCACCAGCCACAGTTCCGGCATCGATCGGTACATCCGGAAGAACTCGGTCCAATACTCGATGGCCGTGTGACTGTGCTGCGACATGGCGAATGAACGACTGTCGTACGACCGGCGAGTCAATTGTCGTACGACCGCCGTCAAACCAAGTCGAACGAGAGCGAGTACCATCCCATACAATCTCAAACAACAACCCTTTCTCTCCGTTGTTTAACTAAACTAAATTTATTAAAATGTTGACACTTACTAGGGTTGTCAGATAGTCTTTTAGATCTAATAGTTACATTTTTGTTACAATAGGTATAATATAATTAGGACTCTCCGTTCTCTTAAAAATATATACATATAACAAAGAAAATTACAATTATCATCTTAAATTCTTACTTTCCTACTCTATCTTACATCTTACTAAAGTTTAAAAAAAAATATATATGAAACATATTCAAATGTTGACACTTAATAGGGATTTTAGTTAGTCTTCTAGATCTAATAGTTACATTTTTGGTATAATAATACTAGGACTTTACGTTTTTTTTTTTTTAAATATATATAAAAAAAAAGTATTATTACCATCTTAAATTTCTCTTATTTTCTTACATCTTAGTAAAACACCAAAATGAGATATAGAAGTAGAAAATATTGAAATTTTACAAGAGTTTTTAGAAAATCTTCTAAATCTTATCTTGTAAACCTGTTACATTTTACGTATAGGAGGTATAATATAATGATAATAATAATGATATCATATTTACTCACATGAATGCTTGTCTCGTCGAGACTATCGTCCATACTCTCCGATTTCACGCGGACCGGCGATTGGATGTTTAGCACCGGCTTGAGGAAGTCCATCAGATGGAACCACCAGAGACGCGGCTGATAGCCATTCAGAGAGGCCTGGACCTTCTTGATTTCCCGACGATAGCAGCATCGCAGCGAGTTGATCTTGCGCTTAACATCCTGAACCGAACAGCCGCCGTTGACGCGTCGCAGGATCTTCAGGAGCTCCTGATAGCCGGGCTCCTTCTTCTGTTTCGATAGATAATCGGGACTGCTGCTGTCCCACAAAGCGGTGAAATGGCGATAACAGCTGATGAACTCCTCCATAACCTCGGGCTCGTCGTACAAATTGTTGGCGCCCACGGGGGACATTCTGCTTTTCGATTTCATTCACTTTTTACCGTGAAAATTTCGACAATTTCGATAAATTGTCGATATTAAATTTCGATCATATTTGCACACCCCCACTTTTCGAAAGACTGACGTTGAATGATGGAGAATGACGGAGTTGTAAATGATATTATAAATTTCCCGGTATGATGTTGCCCCTGCGGTTTCGTTTCCTTTGTATGATGCGGTATGTCATGCAAGTGCAACGTGTGTGAGCGGCCTTTTCGTGCCGTCTCGCTCCTTCGCCCTGTCTTGCCATCTCTTTCTCTTTCTATTTTTGCTTCTTTTATTTATTTATGTTTGTTATAAAATGTCGCTGCTGCAGCAGTTGCTTTTTTTCCCTCGCGCAACGTTGCCGCTCTTCAGTTCGCTTCGAACATGTTGCGACGTTGCCGCTTTTATGTGTGCCTGTGTTTTTTGCACTGAAAACTGGCAACGCGGCGTGGTTGGCAAAATGAAATGGAAAAAGAAAAAAGTGCTTAGAAAAATGTTGCAAGTCTTCCGCCGGCCGGTTGCAAACAACAACTAAAAGGGGCGGGGGGTGGAGAAAAGGGGGAAGCGAAAAAGTAAAAAAGATATTCGAGGAAAAATAGGAGTAAGTCGGAGAAAGAGGGAGAGAGATAGGAAAAACGCGGGCTAAAAGACCTAATAATAACAAAGCAAACGAAAAACAACAAATATTTATGGATTAGAGCAAATTGAATTGTTTTTTAGATCAAGTAATATATTTTCTTTAATTATAGTGTCTTTGTAAATTAGATTATTATAGAAAAACTTTTTCAACTATCAGAACAAATTTGTATCAATTCAGAATCGAATAGCATTTTTCAGTAATATTACATTTAACATGTATTTTTCTTAAACTAACAATAATTTGATTTTATAAAAAAAAATCTCTAAATATCTTAATAGTTTGTAAAATATAAAATTGATTCAAAATTAATATAGACCTATTGTTAAATCAAAGTTTTGTAATTTTCATAAATAAATAAAATATAAAGTAAAATACAAATAAGAATTAAAATGAAATACAAATACAGATTCGCATTTAATTAGCGAAAAGCGCGACTAGAAAATTGGTTCGATGAGTGGGAGCGAACATGCAACCTGATTGAGCGATTGCAGGTAAATCGCACGTGTGTTCGGGTTATTTTTTTTTTAGGCTCGGCCTACGCTGGCCGTTGCCCTCTGCACCCCCGCCCACCGACCACTGCAACCACCCCCTCGTGACCCCTCGTAACCCCGCCCCTTGTCGAACCGCCTGCGCTCGGCGCATTTCACTTTCACTGCAAATTGGCAAGTGACGAAAAAACACAAAAAAAGAAGAAGCAGGGAAATACAAAACACATGAACGCGACGAATGAAAATTATCAAAGGGGCGGGGTGGGGGGAAAATACACAAGAACGAAAATTAAACCATTGCAAAGGCTCATTTTTCAATTTATCAAACGTTTTGCCAGGCGAAAAGCTCGCATTACCCACTAGATCGCTTTTCGTGGAAATTTTTTGTACGTAAATATGGGTAACTGAAACCTATAGACATGGAATTGCATTGCGTGGAATTTATTAAAATAAACGTAAACCTCTGGCAAGTCGTCTCCAATGCTTAAAAGTAGATGATATACCTATTTTTTTAATTATAGCTTCAGTTATTGATTATATATATACATTCTTATGTAATAGTAATACAGGGTATTTGTCTAATAATAATAGTATAAAATTTAAGATAGATAGCATAAGTACCATCACCCAAAGAAAAAGGACTAACTTTTCATATTTTAAAATAAAATAAACATTCAAATTTTATATCCTTATTTTTAAATTTGTTGTATACTTATAGCTAAATAAATATATTTATAAAATACAATAAGAAAAATGTATTTATGCTTTAAATTAGATTATACCATTTATTTTTCAATAATTTCTTAATTTTATTCCTCAATGTTGTATTGGAATATGAAATTATATGCATTAGTACTGAAATAATATTAATATTTATTTATTTAAAATTATATTCTAAGATCTTAAAGGAACTCCCCATAATTTCCACTATGTGAAATAATTTGGGACGCAACTGTGCCACGCAGTTCGACGCCCCGTTCGAAACGGTTGCAAACGGTTCGAAGCAGTTCGATGCTCGACGTCGAGCTCATTGCTCGAGCCGTTCGGACTAACGGCGAAAAGCCGTCTGTCTCGCTCGCTTTCTCTCTCTTTCTCTTTTAAAAATTCAAAATAAATATTTTTCACGAATTTCGTAAGAATTTTGCAATTATTCTTGAGCTTTCCCAGTATCGGTTGCCATCGATTTGCGACTTTTTCCCAGGCCAAACATTGATAATCGAAGGGGGCGAGGAAAAAACTGAGACGCAACATCTGCCGTGGTTGCAGTTGCCTCGGCCGCGGCCGCTGCCGGCGTCGCTGCTCGCCAGCTGGCGCTGCGTTGTCGTTGTCGTTGTTCAATGGCTAAAAACTCGGGTGTGTGCTGCGCGCAGAGCATGTGAAAAATTGACAACGTTTGCGCCAGATAACATATACGTTGCGAATTTATTTATAACAAATTCACGAAAATTAACCGAGGTAAATGTGCAGCGCAATTCGTTGAATAAAAAAAATAAATAGCGAAAAAAAATATATACTTATATATATTATATTCGTGTGCGGTTTTCTCTGTGCATATGTGTGTGTTCGTGTGTGTGTCTCGGTGTGCCAGCAAGAAGAATAAAAAAAAAGAAGTTAAGCTGAAGAAAAAGCCAAAAGAAAATGAAATATATATCAAAATTGCGTCGCGATTTTTTTTCTCGCTCTCTCTGTCGCTCTGCTCTCCTCCCTCCTTCTCTCTCGCTCGCTCTCCCATTAAAGTGGAAAAATTTCTAAATGTGCCTGTGTGCGTGTGTTCTAATTTTTTGTTGTTTAATACATTTAAAAAAAGAAGTCGCACACACACATACACACAACGCAATTGGGGAGAGAATTTGTTAATCGACAACAACAAAAGAAAAACACAATTTTTTTTCGACTCCGACAACGCCCTGTGCTAAAATATAAAAAAATAAAAATGTACCGTTATTTGCCTTTTACCCTCCCCTTCGCTAAAAAAAATAAGAGAAATATATATGTATATATATAATGCTTATAAAGTTAACTTTTTTTTACTGTTACGTTAATCAAAATGCGAAAAATCAATAGGAAATAAGATATCGCGTTTTATTTGTGCCTTATGAAAAAGGAAAAATATTAAATTCAAGTTAAAATCGTGACAAAAACTGATTATCATGGATTCTCACGGATTTTTTCATCGCGGATTTAACCATCATTCAACGTCTAACGGGTAAGTTTTGAATAAAAAGTGGAACAACAAATAAATCTAAGATAACTTGAGGGTTTCCAAGAGTTTGTGTTCAAAATGAGCATTTCTAAAGGTTCTTACTTGGGATGGAATGTTTTATTTTATAATTATTCGTGCAAATGTGAAGATGTAAAAATCATATATCATTATCAAACAATGTTTTAGTTTGATTAACCAAAGTTAATTTAAAAGTATTCTTTGTGGTTTAAATAATTCTGAAATAAGATTTGACTTGAGATATATAATATATGAGTTCATTTTCATAAAAACATATTTGAAATCGTGTTTAAAATTCAGGTTTTCAAATAAATAAACTAGAATTACGAATTCGTCATCGATTGGGTTATGGAATTCAGTTTCATAAATAATAATTTTCCGTGTTCGTTTATCAAAATATCTCAAAATTATTTTATGCTCTCTCGGTAAACAGTGAAGTGCATTAACAATTTGATAAATATTACAATATTTTACTGGACAACTTGAAAAAGTGCAGAGTTATAACCTTAAAATATCCATAAATTCCATTGTTCAAATCTTCAAATTCGTGTTTTTCCTTTTGGATTATAACTTTCAAAAACGGTCTATACGATAAAATTAACGTTTTATATTACTAAGGGTAATATGCTAAAAATTTTAATCAAGAGAAACTAAAATTTATTTTAGCTATCTTAACAGAATACCTATTCTTGTTCAATATTAAACATGAAAATGATTAATGTGATGTTCATAAATATAGTAAAATATTGTTTTTAATAAAATTATAACCCTGAAGTGAATTTACTTTTTTCAAAAACTTGGCCATTTTTGTTCTAAATAAAAGTATTATTTTCCTATTGGCTCTCAAAAAATAACCCCAAAATATAAGAAATTTCCTATATGATTAAACTGGTTTGAAAAGAACCCTTCTATAGAAATGGGTTTCTTGTAGACTTTCCACGTGAGTTTAAAGTCCGCGATCTGGTTCTTCAACTCAGCTTGATTTCATTTTTGAAATTCCAATTCCGATTCCCCATGACATGTGTTCGTCGTTCTCCTCTACTTCTTCTTCTTTCATCCATACGTGTGGCGCCAAAAATATCAAGTTTTTTTCTTTTATATTTTTGTGTCTATTTTTTGATGTTCTTCGAGTCTCCGCTTTATATGTGGTATATATTTCCATACATTTGTAGTTTTATTTATTTATACCTTTCTTGGCTTTGCCTTTTGAGCAACTTCTATATCTATATGTATTGCAGTCTCCCATTAGCATTTTAATTATGCAAATATTACTTGTGTTTCTTTTTGTTTTATTTACTTTGTATTACCAATTTCGTTTCTGTGGTTTAAATGTGAATAGCTATACTATATATTTAAATTGGTAGATGGGTAGATGGGGGATACGTGGCCTGAGGTTTTTGTTTTTGTAGCTCGCTGTCTCTTTTTGTCTTCTTTGCTTTCTGATATTTTTTTTATATATTTTTCTTATAAGCCGCACGTAGAATTTCTTGTTGAACCGGTTTTTTTTAGCCGTGCTTACCATATTTTATTTGTTGCCACACACTCACATAATATAATACAAAGAAGCCAAAATATATACGCAATAATACTAGGTAAAGCCATTGACGAAAGAAATTTGAGAAAGGATCTTCAAAATAAATCCCTTGATTGAAAATTGTTAGAGTAGGTCTTAAACTTTATTTTGTTATAAAGATTTTTCTTTTAGAAAATCTGATTTTTCAAAAAAGTATAATATATTTAGGTTTTGTTTTAGCTTTAAGTAAATCAAATACTATTATATCACAGATGTATTTACATACATATGTGTACATCACATAGATTTTCTTGTTGTTTTGCTACTCTTTGCCGTTTTCTTGTTCATTTAAATGCAATCGCAATCCGCATATTGATTTTTCCTTCTCCAGAAAGACAAAAAAAAAACCGAGTTGGTAAAAACAAAAAGAAATACGCAACACACACGAAAAATAAAAAAAAACTTCACGTTCGAATGAAGTTTGGCAACGTCGCCTTTTCACTGATGGCCAGAGGAGATGAAGAGCCAAACGGAAAGAAATAAAATAATATAAAAGAAAATTGTAAGGAAAAAGAATGTCCTTGTGTTTTTGCTAAGGTATTTACTTTATCCCTTTGATGACCGTTTTATTTCCATTAAATTGGGAGTTAAAAACTGATTCCTAATAAAAATATATTTAAAATTTTATAAATAAATAAATAAAATAAATTTTGAAGAATATTCAAAATTCCCTTTCATTAGCTTGCAAGTAAAAAACTGGAAATGTGTATAATATAAAAATGGGAAAAAAGAAAGAGTCGGCTAAAAACTGTCACTTGGCATTTTAATGGAATTTTTGTGTTTGCCAGCGGCAAAAACAATAAAGCTCAAATATATGTACAAAGCAAAAAACAAAATAAAACAAAACAAAATAAAGAAAACATTAAAAACACAAACGAAACAAAGCACAGCGCAGAGTCAAAGTTTATATTAATAATTTGTATTTTTTCCCGCCAGCAAAAGCAAATGTAGATCATTATTTTTTTTGTTCTATTTACTTTTGCCCCGTCTGAAATTTCCGCTTATTATTCCATTGCAAACTTTGAACATGTGAAAGTAATTTAAAAGCAAATTCTTTGCTCTTGTTCTTATCTCGCAACTTTCTTATCTGCCCCTCCCTCTGTCCCCTTTCATCCGTCCCTCCATTCACGCTCCTTCTCACTATCTCCGCCCCTCGAATGTTCTTGAACCTGAAAGAGGAGGAGAACAGACGAGAGAAGAAAGGAAAGGAAAAGAAAAGAAAATAAAAGAAAGAAAGACCAGAAGAAACTATAAATATAAAGCTTGGAGAATCAGAATTCGCTGATTTAATATCAATATATATTTTTGGAATTATTTTTCAACATCATTTACGAGTTACTTAACTATTAATCGTAAATTCAAATATTTCTGATTTTTTTCCATTAAAATATTTACATTTTTTTGGATGAATCCCCATCTATAATATCTTAAATAATTTATTCATATTACAACTTACAAGTTACAACCTTCATTTGAATTTTAAATAATTCATTAATTAATTCAAATTATTAAGAGAATTTGTATTATTTTGACTATTATTAAATCTATATAATAAATAACTTCAAAAGGAATGTAAAATATTGTGAAATATCCGAATATTGCGTTGAAGGAGTTTTCGTAGGGAAATTTAAAAACCTTTTTGTGTTAATTTCGACTCAAATTCTAAACATATGCGAAATGCTATAAAGTTTCGTCGAGAATTCCGCGCCGATTTATTTTCGCAAAATTACAAAAATGAAGAAACCACATGTGCGGCATGTGTGTTTAATATTGCAATATATGTTTGTATATTATTATTTTTGCGTTGCACATTTTTTAAAATTGCAACGTGCGTGTCTCTTTTTTGGGTGGGTAGATATTTTCGTGTAGAAATACAAAAAAGAAATACATGCAACCTACGGTGGAAACTTTTTGAGGTGGAAAACACGTTTTCCCAGGCAAAAACAACAAGCGCAGTGTTAACTGATAAAGCACACGCACGCAACAAAAACAACATGCACACAACAACACATTCAAGTAAAAAGAGTAAATATATGTGTACAGCTGCGGTTGAAATACAATTTCTGTTTAATTAACATTAATTAAAACATTATTATTACGTTAGCTCAGGGCGCCCAAAAATTGCTAAATATTTATTTAGATTTTAAAAACATATATAAAACTATACGTTTTTATAAATTACAGCTAGGAATTAAGGGCATGCTCATTAGAATTTTAAATATTTAAAAATATATTTCGATTTCTAATATCCAAATTGAAATATTTAAAATAAAATATATAAAATTAGGATCATTTACAGAAATATGCAAGATTATAATATTAATTAATTAAAATATCCATATATTTGCCTTTTTATCTTATTTTTCTTTAAATATTTTTTAAACCTACAGTAAATACTTGAAAAATATATAAAAATCAAAAATAAAACGCTATTGCTGACATTCAAAACCAAAATAATTGTAAAGAGCTTTTTATTGTACTGTTTTAAAGTTAAAAAATATCCTTAAATATAATTTGAATCTCATTGAGATATTAGAAATCGAAATATATTTTTAGGTACATTTTGCGAGCCTCCACTGTGTTTTAATACGCCCATATAAAATGCCCGAAAATAAAAAGCCAGCCGCGCACTAAATTAAAGCTCGAAACGAAACGAAAAATCAATACTTTACTTTACCCAAAACACCGAAAAGCGTAAAGGGGCGGAGGAAGGGAAGGAGGCGAAGGATGAAGAGGAGGCGGAGAAGAGGAAGAGCCGGGCCTAAAGGCAGCGGCGTTGGCAGCGACGCCGGCAGCGGCGCTTATCTGAAATAAATTGCTTTCGGCCTACTCGTGATTTTTTGTTGTTTTCCTTTTCTTTTTTTGGTTTATTTTTGTTGTACTTATTTTGGTGTCTTTACGTGTATTTTACACTGTATGTATGGGTGTATATTTTTCTGGCTTTTACCACCCACACATGTGCCCGAATAAAACAGTCAAAAGCATGCGCCTCTGCATGTGTGAGTGTGCTCCACAATTATTATTATTATTATATCGCTCTCTCGCTCTGCCTCTCCTCCCCCTTCCATCCCTCACCCTCTCGCTCTCGTTACATGGGTTTAATTTTTTCTTTTGTACGTGTTTCACCTTGCGCGCCGTGTTTATTGCTGTTGTTTTTGTTGCTGCTGCTGCGTTTTACTCGTTAGACTCGTTTTTACCTCCACCCCACCCCCTCCCCATTCTTTATCATGCTCTCTTCTCCTCTCTCTTCGTAAGTCTCCTATCATTTTTCATGCACAACAAACACACACACGCACACTGAATCGCTTTTGTTGCTGCACTTTGTGGGAGCCAAAATGCGATGTTGCCGCATTTCACTTGGAAATTAAGCTATTTTCAGAGGCATCTCAAAGAAAGGAAAGACGCCTAAATTCGTGGGCAAGCGTAAAAATCTTTAATACATTACGTGTAAATTTTTAAATGAATTAGTAATTTTTATAGTTTTTAAAAATTAAACAATAAAAGGATAATTTTTATGTTATAAAAATCAATAAATCAGAAATATTAAAATGTTACAAAGTTCAGTTCACAAAATGCTAAAAATATTTATTTTAAGTGGCATTCTAATCTTTATTTATTAAAAAATATTTTTACTACATCTGGGTATTCTATAAAAATTAAATATAAAACTGCAAATCTGTAAAATGACAAAGAAATAAAAGGATATCCTAGGGAATCCATTAAATTACTATTCAACGATTCATATGCTCTTGTTTTTGCAAAAAATGTGCCAATTGTCAGAAAAAGATGTCCCAATAAAAATGAACCCACAAAAGCATGACCTTAGTACTTTGTATTTCCAATTCGATTCCAATGTGCTGTGTGTTTATGGCAAATATTTAATTTTTTTCTGCCTCAAAATATTGTGCATTGCATTTGTCTGAACTTTTAAATTGTCGGAAAAAGCGAATGCAGAAAATAAAAGCAGACAACAAAAACAACGACAACTTGGCATGAGAGCAGTAGTGCCCCGTCTCGCTCCCACTCACTGCCCGCCGCCACCGCCCTCTCTTTCCCACACTTGGGTTCGTTCTCTCTGGGGAATTTTGTATTTGTGCGAGTTTGTCGTTTTGTCGCGTCGTCGCTCTGTCGCGTCGTTCGTCGTTTAGTCGCTTGGTCGCTTTGTTGTCCGATTCGTTTTATGACGTTGCGAGTTTTATGTCTGCCCGCGAGTGTATTAGTGTGTGTGTGTGTGGGGTATTCAGTTGCCAACGGCTCTGCCGCCTTGCACTTGTTGTTGCTGTTGCGTCACCCGCACTCTTTTACCCACACCAACACACACTAACGTTCCTGCGCACGATGTCTCTTCATCCCCTCCCCCCTCTCTCAGTCCACCACCCTCTCGCCCCAACCACTTCCTCTTTCCACTCCATTCGCCATGCCGCCTACTGTTAGCTTTGGCATAGTGTACGGCGTACAAACACACATTTGTGCATGTGTATGTATGTAATTCGTTTTACAGCGGTGTTCGCAGCAGAAGCACCTGTCCAATTTAAAAGTAATAAAAGGAAATTAATATTATTTGAATATTTTAAAATTTTTCTTTAATAAACAAAAATTATTTGTACTAATTGTACATATTACAAATTACCTATTATTAGCGCCGGTTTTCTCAATTCCAAATCTTCTTAAATGACTGGCACATTTTGTGAGCTAATATCTTGAGCGCCATTGTGTGGCCCCACGCTTTTGTTGTTGTTGCTCTCTGTTTTTGCTCAACCTCAGCAGTGGCCTCTCCTCTCGGCTCCATCGTTTCCCTTTCATCCTTCGGCCCCCCGCCGACCCCCCCTTGACTGCTGTCTTCTGTGCTCCATTACTGCTTGGTTTATTTGTTGTTCGCTATCGCTCTCTCTCCTGTCTCCTTCTCGCTCTGTCTTCCGCTTGACTTGTGCGCAGATCCCAACACACCTCTCTCGCTCGCTCCGGCACTCCAACTACCGCTCCCTCTCGCTCGCTCCTGAACATGTGCCTCGGCATCATTTTCGTCTTCTTCTTTAAGTTGGTTTCTTCTTTTTAGTGCTGTGCACACTCGATACAATGAACCCATGAGAACCAAAAATCTTGAGATACAATTTTATTTCGAAAGATATATTCAAAAAGGAATAGAACAAATATTAGTGCAATATTTTTGTACATATATTAATTATTCCTTTTTGAGTTATTAAATAAATAAAATCATAAATTTCTAATTAATCAAAAAGTATTTCTTGGAATGATAGTGCTCTTTAGAGAGTGCCCACTGTAGTTTCTTTTGTATGCTGTTATTATTATTATAATGCTTTTGCTTGTGTTTCTCTTTTTGGCTTTTTTATGCTTTTACGTTTTTTGTTTTTCCTATTTTCATTTATTTTTTTTGTTCGTATAGTTTTTAAGCCTCTTTTTTTCTCGAACACGAATACGTATATATTTTCCTTGCCTGCTGTTGGTATGTGTGTTGTTATTTTTATTAATTTGTTTGCGCTGGGGCTGTTTTCTGCTTCTCTGCTCTTTGCTTTTTGCCATGCTACTTGTGAAATTTGGCAACGGCGCTGCTTTAATCTTACGCGTGCTTAAGTTTTTTTGTGTTCTCCCGTCTCCCTCTCGCCTTCTTGTTCGCCGTGTGAAGTTTGGCAACGTGTCTTCGTCTGGTGCTGCGACGCTTGGTTGAGTTTTTTTTCCGCTCTCCTCTTTCTTGTTTTTCTTCTTCTTCTATTTTACTTTATACTTTACTGGAATTTCGTGCTTAATTTTCGCATCTTAAATTCAATTCAATTTTCATAGTGTGAATTTAATTTACTATTTCGCTTCGTCGTTTTCGTTGTTTGCATTCTCCGCTTTGTTTTATTTATTTGCGGCCGTGCAGTTTAATTGCTTTCATTAAAAGCAAACACAGTTGCAAAATTGCAAAATAACAAAATAAAACAAAAGAAAAAAGAGCAGCAGGAGGAATAAAATCGCCGACTGCGACGCCGGCAGCGGCAGAGGCAGAAAAACATGTGGCCAAAAATATTGGAGAGTTTTTCATGGCAACGTTGCCGAACTTCAGCACCCATGATTTTCTACCAGGGCAGCTGTCTTCCTCTGTTTTCGTCCACTCATACATATATCTCCGTTTATATATATGTATTTGTATGTATATATACGATACATATATGCCATCGAATGATAGATGAGTGGGCGAAAAATTATTGATGAGTTCTGCTTTTAAAGAGCTTCTTCAGTTCCATTGGGTGTTGAAATAAATTTAGCAGCCATACGAATACAAAAGAGTTTTTGGGGATTGGGTAAAAGTTTTTATAATAGAATGGCGGTTTAAAAGACGGTCGGAAATACTTGAAATTCCATTGGAACTACAGTTAGAAATGCGGCTTTTATTCAAGAAGGCTTAAAGTTTCCTTATTCAGTTGTAAAAGTTTTATTTTCTCCTTATTTTGTTTGGATTTTCAGCTTTTAGTAATTTGTTCGCCTGTTTATCAAATCGAAAGTAATTTTATCTCTTATACAATGTGTGTAAAATGTATTTATTTATAGTATATTTTTGCAGTTTATATTTGCCAATCAATTCGGCGAACCAATCGTTAAAAAAATTAATGAGCATATTTCGGAATAATTATATTCTGTTGCCATTTAGCGAAAAAACCATTTGAGTAGAATTTGTCGAATCATTTCGCTTAGCAGCTTGAAGTCTGAATTTGAATTGATTCATTAATTGTTTTTTATTCCAAAATAATTATAGAAATTTAATGGACATTGGTTTGGTAATCATCAAAAACGCGTGTTTGGCAATGAAAATGTTTAGTAAGAAGTCTGTGACCTTTAATTTTTCCCATCTTGAGTTTCATACAAATATTGTTATAAATATTTTATTTTATTTTTATTTATTTAGAAAAATTAAAAGCTAATAAATGTTTTTAAATGTGTTTTCCTTTATGCACCCGAGTTATAATTTTGTGTATAGTTTCCTCCAATCAATGCGATTTATTTGATTCGGTAATCGAAATAATCGATCGATAACTAGATTGCTTAGAAATGTCTCACTAATTTAGGGCTAATAATTTCTGTTGAAGTACACAGGTTACTTGGCCGCGTTTTCTGTGTTGCCGTTTGAAATGCTCGACCTGGAGGACTTTTGGCCGTAAAAATACCTTAAGCCCCCGGGTCGATAACAAAAGTCGGATTGCGATGGCTGGGCGGGCAATTCAATGACAGAAATAATCGCAGACGCGATAATGCGCTCTGCACTTCAAACCGGTATACCAGCGGGGTTTTAGGGTTTCGGGGTTGGGGTTTTTGGGGTCTCGAGTGGGGAATGCGGAATGGGGAACGCGGGGCACATTATCTGCTGGAATATTTATGGCCATTATCGATTTTCTAATCATCTAGCCTGCTATGCCTGCTATTTTTGCAACTAATCAGAGTGTTTCTCCTTCTTTCTTTTTTTGCAGTTCGAAATGGACGTCGACGACTGGATGATAAAAACACTAAGTAAACTTCTTTTGTTTTTACCTCTTTTTTTTCGGTGTCTGCCTTGTGATAGAGCGAAAGAGAGGGGGCGAGAGTGAGCGAGCGAGAGGCCGAGAGGCGATTGAAAAAAAAGTGTGCAAGAGCTGTTAATTAATGGAAAAATTCGTTTCGTTTGCGTTGTCGTGTTTTTCGGTTCGGTTCGTTTAGAGGATTAAAAGCAAAATTAATAACAAAAAAATACAATAAAAAAATACAAGATATTATATATTAAATGCCACACACGCACACACACATATCACCATTACCGAAGAATTACTTTTTTCGAAAGTGTAAAATATTTTTTTTTCGATTTTTTTTATTTTGCGTAAAGTGAAGTGATTTATGATATGAAATATGAAATCCAAGCAAAAAATTATAAATAATATTTAGTGCTGAAAACCCCCCGTTTTTACTTGTCATTCCAGAGCAGTGTGTGTAAATAGGAAAAAGAAAAATCAAGAGAATAAATATAAATATTTATATATATAATTAATTAATTAATTGATTTATATTGTGCAAAAAGAAAAGTGCAGCCAAAAAAGCGAGAGAAAAAAAAGAAAAATGCAGTCGCATTAAGGCAACTGTTGTTGCCCCAGTTGCAGCAACAACAGCAAACCGAAAAAAGCAACTTCAAAAGTTATACAAAGTTAAGCTTGAAGAGTTACAAATAAATAATAAATAAATACAAAATATATATAAAGTAAAAAAATCCTAGTGCTAACTTTAAAGCGAAATTTTTTTGTGGGGCACTTCCGAGAGAATGTCGCAGTGCAATAATGTTGCAACTGTCGACAGCAGCAGCAACAACAGCAGCAACAGCAACAGCAGCAACAGCAGCACGTTAACACTAAACAAATCAATCAATTCTGCGGCCAACAACAAGTGTTTAAGCTAAAAGAGTTCGGCATGAAATGGAAGCAGCTATACGCTCCATTTCAGTGCAGGTCGGTGCTCCGCCGCCCACAAACAACAGCAGCAGCAACAACAACAACAGCAGCAGCAGCAACAGCAACAACAACAACAGCAGCAGCAACAACAGCAACAGCAGCAGCAGCAACAACACACCCAACGGTGCGCAGCAGCAGCAGCAGCAACATCAGCAGCAGCAGCAGCAACATCATCAGCAGCAGCAGCATCACCAGCAGCAACGGGTTGTTGCCAGCAGCAACCAGCAACAACAGCAGCTGCAGCAGCAACAGCAGCAGCAGCAGCATGATAATGGACCAACGTCCCATCATTTGCATCAATCATCTATCAGCATCTCTAATCAGCAGAATAAAGCAACGCAACAGCAACAGCAGCAGCAACACCAAAAGCAACAACAGCAACAGGCTGCCAACATGTCCGCGTATCAACAACGCCTGCCATCAAATGCAGCATCGCTTCACAGGTGAGTGTTGTTTTTTTCTAGTTTTTAGACAGTAGAAAAAAAATTTATTTGTAGGTTCAAAAAAATTTTTTTTTTCTATAAAAGTTGATGTTAAAAAGTGGCGACAAAGGCAAGTTTACGACTCAAATTGTAGTGAATAGGAATGAAATAACATTTTAGAACTGAAGTAGCATCTTCTAGATTTTCAAATATTAAGTTTGCAGTCAAAAGTGGGTATTTTTCTCGTATTCACTTTGGAAAACAGTGTAAAAGAGGCAGGATTAATACATAAATCATCGTGAATAAGAAAGAAAATTACATTTAAGGACTAAAGTATCATTTTTTATTTATGTCGAATATATCACAGTGATACAAAATAGATTTTATATCAGTGTAAGGAAGAAAATGGCATCCTAATACAAGTGGTAATCAAACGTACCCATTTCCACCCAGTAAATTTCCGCCGCAAAGCTCATTTCCTGTCTGCTGTCTTTTCCAGCCTTTTTCCGTTCAGAGTTGCTTGAAAAGCAGAAAGAAAGAAAGTCAAGAGCCAAGGCGGTGCAAAAACCAGTAGAATGAGGGATAGGTTTTCCTCTTTCACATTATCGTACTTATTTAGCCGGGCTTTAAAAACCAAAACTGCATAGATTATCTTAGTTTTTTATTAAAAAAAAAAGACAAAAAAAAATAAGAAAATTCCCAACCAATTCAATTTAAAGTATAGATAAAACCTTGAAAACGTTTGGGAACTCCGAGTTTAAAGCATACTTTAAATATTTTTTGTTTCCTTTCCTTTTTTTGACTTTGAGGGTTTTACTACGTATTATATATTTACCTCAAGGAAAATGCCAGTTTAAACTGCATTTCGCCATCATCAGAAGTTAAACAAGTGACAGTTTTCCCAGGTATTGAATTTCCTTCGAAGGGCCCAATTATAAACCATATATATGTAGCTTCCCCTCCCCTGACCAAACGTATTCTTCCCTATCAATCAATTATTTAGCTTCCCTTTGTCCGGGGCTTAATGGTGAAAATGGGAAAAGCGAGTGTAGGCTTTCCCATCATTATAGGCTAATTAATATCACAATTTTCGATGAGCTAATTGTATTATACAATACACAGAAATGGTTTTAGATTCGCCATGTAACGTCAAATATAACTAAACTGATTGGTCTTAAATTTCTTTTACAATATTAGTTGCAACATCGGCATTGTTATTTCCTCCCACACAGAATGAAAATGTTTATTTTATTTATATATATATTATTTTGCTCTAATTGGCTAAAGCTAACGCTTGGCCATTTTTATTCTCCCTGCAATCAATTATACGGTTTCCTTCGTTTTTTATCATCCTGCTGTGGGCGTTGGTATTATTTTTCCTCAGCGTAATTGCATTTTTCCTGCGAGAAAAATAAGGAAAAGCTGCTTTCTGCTGCTGCTGTTGTGGGGTATTAGTTTCCATCATGTTTTTGTAGTAACTTTTCGCAGTAAATTGCAAATTGCATTGGTTTTCATTTTTCTCTCTCGGCGGCTTTAGCTAAAAATAAATTGCATTGTAAGGATTCGGGGAAATGATATGAAAGAGGGTATTTATTTATTTATTTATTTGTTTGATGATTGTTCTGTTCTTGCTCCACTCGAAAGGCCAGACTTGATTTTGTTTATCAGTCGACTTTCAATTAAAATTCTCAGAAAGTAGGTCCCAATTTTGATAAGATTTCCGGTCATGAAAATAAACTTGCATCAAGTTTATTTATGTTTTTCGATTAAAACTCTCAAGTGGTTTCTTCTGAAAATAAAAAAAAATACGAAATAATACTAAATTTTGATAGACATTAAAGATTATTTCGTAGAAAAACGTGTTTAAAAATTGTGCTGCTTTTTTTTTGTTCTGCGGACCAATTAATTGACCTTGACTCGTTTCAATGGCATTTGTCACTATCTTTTAAACGAGTTTTATCTAAAGCTATGCTAATTTTCCATTTTCTTTGTTGTTGTTGTTAAAGAAACAGGTGGCATTCGAATATGATAATAGGTATTAAAGCTTCATAAATTATATTAATAATATTTTTTTGTTTAAAGAAAAACTGGAATCTTATAGGAAAAGTTTATAGTTCTTCTATCAATTCAAAACTCTGTAAATCTGTAAACCAACCATTATTTCCGTAGTTACCTATTTGTATTTTTTTTTCCTGAATTCCACTTTGGGAACCTTAAAAGTGCAAATATCATTTAGCCACATTTTGCATTCCAATTGATTTCGTAATTTGCACTTTCAACGCCAGTTGGCAAATGAGTGAGTCATTGCAAAAAGTGTAAGGTAATATAAGATTTATATATACAGTTTACCTATATATATAGGCATAAAAGAAGTGGTAAAGTAACACAAAAAAAATCCGGAAAACGTAACAAACAAAAACAGATGTTAATGATAATGGCAATAAAGATTATAATGATGATAATGATGAGGTTCGGCTTCAGGTTTTGTGGTTTAGGGAGACAAGCGAAAAACAAAGCGGGAAGTGGAAAGCACTTGAGAAGACAAAAGACAAGGTGATGAAAATGGAAATGAGAGGAAGAAGAAGAAGCTAAAAATAATAATATGTAATTTGACACCATTGACCTGCCGCAATGATTACAGTAAGGGTTAAAAAGCGGACGACAACAGAAAGAGAGGATGGGATTTCCTTTTTCCTAACACTTTTTTTATTCTTTATGAGAAAAAGGGTCCCGATATATTCTATAGTTACCATAGGAACGCTCGAAAAAAATGGAAAATATTTCGCTGTTAAAGCTATTGACATGAAACTTGACAACCCTAGTCAGAATAGGATATTTTATAGCTACTTTCAGAGCAATAGTCTGAAATAAGTTAAAATGTGATGTTTATCGCAATATTTGCTTATTATATCCCGCTGCAAAATCAAGGATTTTTGTAAATTTTATTGTGATTTTACAATAAATATGTACTGTATAAGCAGGCTAAATGAAAAATAGGAGGTAAGATAGAATGCTGAGGACGATGACGATGGACCAAAGATATTTTCTATCTCTTTTCTTGTTTGCTCGTTTTTTTTTGTTCGTTTAAGGTTTCTTTTTTGCTTGTTGGCCAAATTAGAACGCAATTTAAAAGACAAGAGCAGTAGTGTCTTCCTCTTGTTTTTCTTGCGGAAAAAGTTCGGTGATTGATGTGTCTGGAGTACAGATTAAAAATAAAAATTAAAAAAACTACAAAAATGTTTGCAAGAGATTCGAGAAAGATAATGAACAGAACGCAAAACTCAAAGTAAACACTCTGAAAATCTGCGTTTTTTTGTATCTGCTTGGAATTTATAAACAAAATAAATAAATAAACTAAAAGATAGAGAAATGAAAGAAATGTTTGAATTTAGGTATGCAATTTCCTTGTTCTTGTTTTATATTAGATTTTAATTAGAGCTACCTTTAATATTATGGTGGTCTATCTAATATAATATCCCAGGTGAACAAATCGATGTTAAGGGGTGCAAGTTCCTCAGTTAATCGAATTTTAATGGCCACCTTCTATATGTGCCAGGAAATCAAAATATAAACACAGGCACACACTGCACAATTTAACTTTACTTGAATGTCAGCAGAAAGGATTGAAAATCGTTCTTTTGTTATGTTTCCGTTGAAAATGTTTATTCCAAATGGATCAGAAAAGGAAAAAAGCTCAGAAAAAATGGGGGTACAAATAAAATAAAACAAAAAATGATTCGTTGTCTTTTGTTTGTTATGATGTCTCTTGTTTCTGCTGAATCAATTCGAAAGCACAGTTATCGGATTTATCTGTCGGATAATCGAGTAGTTTGTTTAGTTTAACTATTTGCGATTTGCTTCATATTTAAAATGATCGAGCTTTTATTGTCAAATAATTTCAAATCATTTCATATATGTATATGTATGGCTATCTAATTAATCGACACAAGTGTAATCGATAAATATGAAATATACAGTGAAGTTCTGAAATATTTCCTAAATTTTGCAAATCATATGCTTGCTTTCAAGAGGCCTTTTCTTTAACAGTTGTAACCCAGTTTTTCCGCCCCTCCCCCTTTTTCCCGTTTATATTTTTCATCGCTAGCATCTGTGTTATCGATATGCACATTTTGTTTGCTTTTGGGGCAGTGTGGACTTCTCATTTCTCCCATCTCCTCTCCACCTTTCGCTATTCCCTTTGCCTTCTTTTTCTTCTTCTGCTTTGCCAAATGTCAACAATTTTTGTTTCATTCACAAGGGGCGCCACCCACACACCCAAAAACACACACTCGCATAAATTCAAACTGCAATTGCATGAACCCACACACACACACACACTCGTACACATGCATTCGCATTTATACATCGCATTTTTAATCGCTTTCGAACGGTCAAGGTTGCAAAATATTTAATGAGTCAAATGCGACGTCGTCGACGCCCGCTATCAGCTGGCAGCGCAGTCGACGTCGACGCTGGCAGCGCGGCCATCGCTTCCTTGCTCTTTTTTTATATATGTATGTATATATTTTTTTTATTTTTTGTTTATCGACCCGGCACTTTGCACACACACACATTCACATGTACGTGTGAGTTGTTGTTTGCTTGTCACTCAGTCACTATTGCCCTTTCCCTCGCACCTTCCTCCTTCTCTTTTCTTTTATTTGTCCATTTCCTCCTTCATTTTATTTATTTTTTTTTTTTTGCCATTTTTAACCCACGTTTTTTATGGGGGGTGCTATTACTTTTGGCACTCTAAATTACTACAGAGGTCTAAAGCAAACGCAATAAAAAACAAAGTTTTTAGCTTAAAACTGCGGATTAATAAATATTCCAGTTTTCTAACAAAAGAAAAGATTTTTTTATTTTATAAATACACACATATATACGATAGTTTTATTATCAATTAAATTATTATTTTAAATGAATTTTAAAATTAGAATATATTTTTAAAATAGAAGTTCTGTATAAACCTAGTGGATTGAAACCTAAGAATAAATAGTAGGTAATTTTTTTAGATACA